CATTTCTGTAGGAAGTCACTCTCAGAGTAACAATAATAATAAAAGCACCCCCTTCCCTGAATATTTGCAAGGTTTTAAATAAGTAGAAGTGTTCCCAATTCATCTTTGCTGTAGTGTGTCATCAGACATTAGTTTGGCCTTATTTTCAGTTTATGGCTTTAATGACAAGGTAATGCTCAGTAGCATTAAATTCAATAGATACAAAACTGGGTGTACACCACAAAATTAGAGCATTGTGCAGTCATATGGAAAATTATGTGTATGCGTGCAACGATCTCTGATGGCTGTAATAAACTGTCTTAAGAAACTCTCCAGACCTTCTATGGCCTATGTAATCTGTGCAGAGCCTATAGTGCAATGTAGTGTAAAGCTTAAAGACTTGCTTACTCCTACTGAAGGGGACCCCAATTATTCCTGCTCTTCAGTAGATGTCTGAATCCAGAAGAATTTCAGAAAATCTTTCAAACAAAATCTGATATTTTCATATTTCTTTTTAATGTGATATTAAAAAAAGCCATTTTATTAGAGGTATGATTAAAAAAAAAGTTTTCTACAATAAAATTTAAGCAGACAAATGCTTCCATATTAATTTTTTAAAACTAAATCTCACGTGCAAACATTTTCGGTTTGGAACTTTCCCCAAATAATCTTTTTTTTCCCAACCCTTTTCTGTCAAATTATTTAATCTTTCCTTACTTTTAACACAGGGAGATTCTGGTGGACCTTTGGCCTGCGAGAAAAATGAAATCTCTTACCTTTATGGAGTTATCAGCTGGGGAGATGGCTGTGGCAGAGTCAACAAACCTGGAGTGTATACACGAGTGACAAACTATGTGAACTGGATTAATGAGAAAATATCCCCCCGAAAAACTAGTTGAACATTTTAAATGTGATAACATTTCAAGCGTGGTCCTGGAATCTTTTGGTTTCATTAAAGTGGCATAAATATTTTATGAAAACTCTCCTGGTAATTCTTAGAAATTCCAAACAGACCTAAAACAGACCTAATCCCTCTGATACCAGCAACTTTGAGCTGCAATTTTAGGGCCATGGATAGCTCAACATATAAGACTGTCTTTATTAGCTTAATAAAACAAACATGTCAAGACAGAGTGTACCGAAATCTACAACTGTTTATCTGCTTGGTGGATTACGTGGAAAGAGTTATTTGAAAGTTTCTGGTGGAGCTGTCATTCCTCCAACCAATCTGTAACAATGTTGTCTCTGTATTCTCAGATGTTTTAACAAAATAAAAAGGAGGAGCACCAAAAAATAAATTCCCTTTCCTTCAGAAGTGATTTCTTGAAGTGCAGGTTGGGTTGAGAGAAACCAGCAGAGCAATACAGGTGAAGTGGCTCCTCAGCTAGCTACAGCAAATCAGCTCTGGGCAGAAAACAGAGGATTTAGATTTTGATTCAACAAAATATGTAAGCACATTTCTGTGTTCTGCTGACATAGACATCAGGAACATGCTTCAGAGCTCTGCTGAGTCTGCTGTGCAATTTTCCAGCAAAGTTTAATGGAACACCTGCTGAAAGCACAAGTTTTTTGCTAAAAAATGTTACAAGTCAGTGCACCTGATTGCTGACCAAAACATTAGGGCCTTTTGCAGACCATCAGCTGCTCCTCACCCTGAGGATAGCGGTAGAAGTACTTCTCCTTGGGTGATAAATGACTAAATATTTCTTAAATTTGACAATGTTTTGGAGATGTCTTAGGTTTTGTACTAACAAGTTATTTAACTGTTCAGATAATTCAGGAGGGTTGTTAGCAGAGTTTTAAACTGCCTGGCTGTGGGAGCTGCTTGGTATTTTCCTTGGGAGGTTGGTGATAATCATAAAGTCCATGTGCTGCTGACATGGTCTATGGAATTATTATAAGAACAAATAAATAAATTATTACAATATACAAGTGGTTAGAGGCTGTATAGCCAGCTGTGTTAGCAACGAAGCAGGAAATGATTGAGTATAAAACAGTTGAATCTCATAAAGAAGAACAGAAAATTACAACTTTCTTAATACAGAGATCTTTAGCCATGTCAGATATATAAATTTTGGAGTATTGATGTACATGTTTTTCTTCTCTGATAGCAAACATTTTCAAATTCTCTTAAGTGTTCAAAAAAAGCTATTCTTTACAATATAGAAATGTAAACTGGTGCTTGGGTACTCATATGTGTGTTTTGTTTTATAATACTGGTGGTGTCTTCATGGGTTTCTTAGTGAATGATTTCTGCAGCTAGAGCAAACTTTGAAAGGAAAAATAACTAAAATCTGATTTCAGGTAACTACAAAGATAAAAACAATGCTAATTTGGATAAGTGATATAAACAATTAAATAAAAATGTTTACCCTCTGTTTCTTGGACTTAGTCTGCTGTGTATATAGTTACAATTAAATCTTTGAATCACTGTGTAGGTTGTTCAACAGGTTGAGAGCTGGTAGAAAAAAAGAAATAACACTTCTCTGTGCCAGAAGGCATCTGAAAAGCTCTGCATAAGAATCATTTCCAGCTGGTGGTGCTCCCAGTTTATGTAAGTGTCGCACAAAATTTCCAGTAGACAGATGTAAGAGTGAAGAAACTTGAGTCACAAAACTTAGGTAAGATTTTCAGCTATAAATACTGTGAATGCTAAGATCAAAGTCTTTAGCTCTTGATTCCAAAACAATCTGAAGGCCATTGTTGTCTGGGTTCTGTGATTCTGTGGGTTTGCCTTCCTGGCCATTTACAGTACGAGTCTGGCTTGCTTAACACTGTGAAACGAATGTGACTGTTTAACAAGACTAACTGTACCTGCTGATGAAAGACAAGCACTAAATGAGCACGAAGGAACTATTTACTCTTTTCTGGAAATGATTCATTTAGAACAGGTTTCAACACAAAGCTTATGCCATTCTGAACATTCATATCTGTTCTGTGACTTCACTTTCATGTTGAAATTAACATCCATCCACACTGAGCATGATTTAAACTGCTGGATGTGTGTTATACATATTCTCTCAGTCTTCTCTTGCTGTAAAAAGGGTGTCTATTTGTCAGGAAAGGTGTTACACTGGTGTTTCTGGCAATTTGTAAAGAGCTTTTAAATTCTTCTGTTTTCAAAAATGTATGATTATTACCACTATGAAGTGACAGTAACATGAAAAATATATGCATTTTTAAAAAATATATTGAATGTTCATAAGTGGAACTCTCTCTTTTCTGCCCTCGAAGGTCTAAATGATAAATCTTCAATCAATTTTCATACTTCAAATTCACTAAAACTGAATTTTTGGTTTTCAAAGTAGCCTGCTTTTTTGTTGTCACTGCATAATCTGGTGGAACTAAATTTCCTGATTCGAGGTTCTGCTGTATGGTGACTAGCCCTGCACTAAATCCACAACCTCTGACTAGGGGTGGTGAGCACCAGCCTGGGTGGCAAGCAAATACTTTGGTTTAGCAAGAGGTCCGTGCCTGACCTGTCACACCCCTGAGAACATCGGTCATGTTCCTATGGGTACTCCAGCAATTTCTGCCACTGTTGAGCATTTCCCCATGGAAACTTTCCCCCAGTTTCTCCTCCTCTACGTAAATGCTTATCACTTAGGTTGAAATATGGCTAAAATTTACTAGAGGAAGTTTTTCTGATAATTTTTCCTCTAACGTTTAGCTTGAAATTGAATTGGAATGCAAAACCAGTTGAACGAACACATCCCTAATTCATTATGAAGCATGCTTAAAGATGGTTTTATTAAATTATATGTTATTCCATGCAAACTGACCGATTCAGAGAGAAGAAATAACTGCAAACATCTAAAAAACCCTTCTATTATGCTATTGAAAGAAAAATGTGCTGTGGTGCCGTTTAAAAAAATAGCTGAAGGACTAATTACCATCAAACAAGATGCAGTAGGAGTATTTTTAGAATAATGGACTCTAATTAGTCCATCGCTCGTTGAAATAAATCTAAGGACATCATTAACACATCTTATTCTATTAATTGTAGCAGCTCTGGGCTTGGTATAAGTGGGCTGTTATCTCGTGACAGTTGCATTGCAAATGAAAAAAAAAAAAAAAAAAAAAGAGTATTTTTATCCGGGGTGGTTGGCTGTATGTCTTTTGGGAGCCAAGGGGAGTGGTAATTGCACTTTTTGGAAGCAGAATTGGGGCGCTACAGGGATGCTGCGAGGCCGGGGATGTGTCAGCCCCAGGCCCCGCTCCGTTGTACAGGGGGGCGGCCAAAATCCGGTCCGTGTTTTCCTGCGGGCCCTCGGCCGTGCCGGGCACGGGGCCGGCCGCGCGGTCAGCTGCAAAGCCCGGAGCGGATCCGCGGCGCGTGGGGCGGCGGCGGCCTGGGGTCACGGCTGGAGGGGATCGGAGGGGGCGGGCGGAGCGGGGCTGCCGCGCTGCGGTGCTCAAACCCTGAAGAAAATAAAATAAATAATAAGAATTAAAAAAAAACAACACACCAAACCAAACCAAAACCACACCACAAGCGCAGAACACGATAAAATAGTTTGATAAAGCACCAGCGGGGAGCTCCCCGGGACCCCTTTTGCCCCTTTTCCCCTCAGCCCGACGGGGCGGGGGGCGCCGGGGAGGGCCGGGCGGCGCTGGCCGCTCGCCCGCCCGCCGCGCTCCGTGTGCCCGTGCGGGGACCTCCCGAAGCTATTTTGAAAGTGACCCCTCGGCCGGAGCGCGGGGAGGGAGCAGCCAGCCGGGCGCAGCTGTCCGGAATCATGACTGAAGATGACGGATTCCGCGGTGGTGGAGGGTCACGTCAAGTTGAGAGATGGAAAAAAGGTTCCCCGCTCGCGGCGCCCCTTCGGGACGGGGGGCCCCGACCGACGCCCCCCGCGTCCCGCCGGCGGGGGAGCGAGCCCGCTCTCCCCTCCTCCGGCCCTGCCTAACCCTGTCCTTTTCGCCTCTCGTTGCAGTGGAAGAGTAGGTGGCTGGTGCTGCGCAAGCCCTCCCCGGTGGCAGGTAAGAGCCGGGCGGCGTAGGGGGGCCCCGGGGTGCCGCTGCCCTCCCTCCCTGTTCCGCCCGACGACGGGTTGGGGGACGCGGTGCGGGGTCTGCGGGGCTCCCCTCGAGCCCTGTCGGCTGCGGGAGACCTCCGCGGCCCTCCGCCGTTGCTCTTTTTCCTTTTTTTGGGGGACACACGCGCACACGCAAATTACGGGCTCAGCTGGCAGCCAGCCAGGCGGCCAGAAATAGCCCGACGGGTATCGAAATAAGAAAGCCCCCGGCACGAGGCTTCGCTTTCCACCCCCGTGTTCCTCCCCGGTTTCTCCCTCAGCGCAGTCCCCTCAGGGGCCTCAGCCTCCCCGAGGGCCCTCAGGGCTCGCAGTCCCCCCTCAGGGGTCGCAGTGCCCCGCTCAGAGCCCGCAGCCCCCTCAGGGACGGTCCCGGCGCCCTGTGTGTGAAGCCGGGAGACGTCCTGCAAGAAACCGTCCGTTTTTTCCTCAAACTACCCCAAAACCGCCCTCCGATCCGGGCGTTTCGGGGCAGGTGCTGAATAAAACCCGTTTGAGAAAGGTGGCCTGTCAGAGCGTAGTTGCGTGGTTGTGGTTTAAAGCGCGTGCTGTTTCTTCAGGGTGGCTGTAAAAGGCTGGCGTGGTGAGCTCTGTAGTTATTTTCGATCCGTGTTTTGACATAAAGCATCGTTTCGATTTAAAAATAAACTGACATCTCGGATTAAAAACTTCTCTTCCACGTTTTTGAAGGGAAAAATTGAAAACGTTATTCAGAGTTGATGATTTCCTGTTGGAGAGGGAGAAGTAAGTTTCAGGTTTTCCTGTCTCTTTCTCATTGGGAAAGCGTTTGGCACCCAAAATATTATTTCTAGGGCTAATTGTTGTCTGCACTCAGAAAATGGGGACCTGCATTGCTTCAGCATGGATTGTGGAGCCTTTTCTAGGCTGTTGCTGGTAAAGCGGATGTTTCTTTACTAACTGAAGCTCTTCAGACCTACCTCCCTGGTGCGTGGGTTGTTACAGGTATATGTTAGTATTTTAGAGGCATCTTGGCTGCATCTGTTAAACTTCTATGTACAAACAGGTATCTGTACATCCTAAAAGTTAGTATCGAGACATGTAAGTATGGGTCTGGATTCCAAACGTAAGTGTGAAAGGGTAAGATGAGGGGGCTTCTTTGAAAACTTACTGACACCATAGCTTATTCCTCAAAAATACTGTTCTAGCAAAGTAGACAGGTCTACCAGAAAACAGCCAGTGATTTGCTTTACTAGGTCTGTAAACCACAGTAGCTCTTTCTTCAGACACACAACTGTATCGCAGAATGCGTAAATATCGGGGCTTGCAGCTGTTTTTGCTAACAGGTGCAAGAAAACAATTGGAAGCGTGCGCAGAGCTCCGCATGGGTTAGCAGACGCTTCAGTCTTTCAGTCATTTTTCACCTCTTTGGAGATTTGCCAGGCTTTTGCCCAGCTGAGCAACACAGGGCACCTTGCCAGGGCTCAGGGCACCACACCCCAACATTCATAAAATGGTGCACAGGGGGCTTCCTCCTTTGTGGTATGCAGGTCAGCAGCAGCTCTGGATGCTGCAGCTTGGATATTTACTGTTAATTTTAGCTATAATTGAGTGCTGTGCAATAGGAAGGGGACTTGGGGGAAGATGAATGCTTTTGTTATCACCTGCAAAAGGTTGAAGAGGGCTCTCAATTTTTTCTTGTCTTTTGGGTTTGCTGGTGGAATGTGCTTTTCCCAGGGCACCGTGATGCTTGAATTACTTTCTTTGACTGCACAGTTGCTATGTAATAAACACCTCTAGGAAGGGGTTAAAAACAAATGGTGACACATGTGAATATTAAAAAAAATAAAAATAAAGGTGTGGCACATAATGATTATTTAGCATTGACTACTGTGTAACATTTAACTAGGAAACCTGAGCTGACACAGTCTCTGGCAGTGCAGCCCGCTCACCATTTAGTAGTTGAGTAATCTGTGAACTACTGTAAGAATTTCATTTGTGGTTCAGTATGTTCTAATGGAAATATAGCTGACAATAGCCTCTCAGTCCTTGGTGTTCGTAACATGAAAAGCTGTCATACTATAACTCCCAGTGTTCAGCATTAATGAGCGGGTCCCGTCCAGACTTGGGAGACTATATGAAAAACCACTGGCTTTTTGTAAAGTAAAAACAATTGGGAAGACTTTTTACTTGCCTTCCTTTTTCTGAGCCTGCAGATTACCCTTGAAACATGCCTTTGGTGTCTACTCCCTGAAAACAAGGACTGCAAACTACCTGGGCAGGGGTGGGAGAAGGAAACACGTCTTGCATTGACCTGATCAGACTGACCTTGTAATTGTCTAAAGCACTTTTGTATTGAAGCAGAGTACTAAGAAGTGTGTTGTGTTCTGTTCTGCCTCATCATCTCTGACAGTTTTGCTTCTTTTAGACTGTTTGCTCATGCTGGTGTACAAGGATAAATCTGAGCGAGCGAAAGGGCATAAGGAGAGGAGCAGCGTGACCTTAGAAGACATCTGTGGCTTGGATCCTGGGCTCTCCTATGAGGGCTTGAATCACACGCTTGCAATCATCTGCCTCTCTCAAGTTGTGATGCTGGGATTTGAGAACAAGGAAACAATGTATGCGTGGGATGTACGAATCCGCTACAGCCTGGGGGAAGGTAACCTTTGTCTTTTCATACTCCCCCCTCTTCCTCCCTCCCACCCCCTCCCCCCAGGAAAAAAATCAAAGAAAAACAGAGACAAAATGCAAATAAAAAAGTATAGTTAAGGAGAAGACTTGCTCATCTGAGTGAAGAGACTGTGCTTCTCCTTAAATCTTAAACTCTTCTGACAGGTTGTGATTACAGTAGTGCCCAGTCCCATTGTTTCACCGAGAGAGCATTCAACTTCATTTTTCACTTTGGTACTGAAAGTGTGTAGCTTTGAAGCGAAGTGATCAGAGCTCTACTTCTGGTAATATAATTTACTTTGGGATTTTGATGGCAGGATTCAGAGGGGGTCCGAATTAAGAGAAAGAGAGTCCTGATTAGAATTTGGCTAGTTCATTCCCAGTTTTCTGAGCTCCCCTCAAGCCTATCTAAAGGTGCTGCTACTGATCCTTTATTTTGCTGCTCGTGTCTCCTTGCAGGAAGAGACATCTCTCAATAAAGAATGTTGTTAGGCATGGTCTTCCCAGTTATCTTCATTCTTATACATCCTATTATTATTATTTTTTCATAGTTAGCAGCCTTAAAATATACAGTGATGAATAAAGAGTGATAACATTGGTAATCCATAGTAGCTGTCTTATATTTTTTAAGTCATAACTAGGAAAGGAGGGTAGGTGTGTGGGAGATGCTCATTAGCTGTCATCATCGTTTGTTACATATGCTTTGCCATCTGTTGTAGTTACAGACTCATTGCTTTGCAAAGATGATCAGGGAATTTTACACTGATAAAATATAGAGTATCAGAGACAGGGATGCTTGGAACTATCAGATATAAAGCCTTGCACGCGTAAAGTTAGAGGGAGTCCCTGAATAATATAGGCAGGTATAGCTGCAGCAGTGGGCACGTTGACAATGTAGCTGTGTTGTGCACTAGTTCTACTTATTTACAAGTTTTGGGGTCTCTGTACAGCATAGGCTGTACGTGTACATGAGGGGAGTTTGCATTTGACAAGGTTGGTCTAGTTTTCATGAACTTGCTCTGGTGCAGTTCTGGGATGGAGAGAATATTTGATCTCAAGCTGGGTGTGAGAGTTATGACTGTGATAGAAGGAAATGCAGAAGTGTTTTTTAATGCTCTGAATGAGGGGATGAATAGAGCCTATTGGGTGAAGGTATTGTTTCACATGTAGCCCTGGAGCAGGGACAGATGGGGATAGCGGTGCAGAAATGACAAAGGGAGCAAACATGATTGGTTGAATAGACAATAATTTGTAGAATGTAATTGCAAAAAACTTAGGGGAAGGAGAAAGACCAGGGTATGGAAAACTTGTTCAGGGTTCCATCTTCCTGTGCTGGGTCAGGTAAGTGAAAGAAGTCAAACAGAACAGAATCTAGCTTGAGTAGACAGAAAGAGAAAAGTGTGCAGACTACAAAGAGAAGATGGCGACTGTTTGTTCTGTTTTTTTTTCTTTCTTTTTTTTTTTTTTTTTCCTTAAAGACTAGTAAGGATGCCTTTGTGTGCCTTGGAAGTAAAGTAGCTGGATGCTGAAAATAGACTGTGGACAGATGACCTCAGAGTCTGGGAAGCAAGAGGGGGGGGAAAAATGAAAAGAGCTGATGCTGTTCTTGAATGAGGATCACAGAATGGAAGGAGTGTTCACTGGAATTCCCATTGTTTTCTCTGTTTTTCTCATGTCAGGTGGATGTGATTGGTAGGACAGCTCAAGGGAATATAAGAACCAGCATTAGAGAAAACAGAGGAATTAAGTGAGTGAGGTGTAAGCCACGTGTGAGAAGAGTGCTTAAGTCTATAGCTCATTCTGAGAAAGTTAGCATACTGTGAGCCACTGAATAGCTGTGAAGAGAAAAAAAAATAGCTAAAGGAAATGAAAACCTTAGTATTAGCTTCTGCTCATAGACATATTGAGCTAGGTATTTTATGGTTGATTTTTTATCCCAGAGCAGGAGTTGTAGATGGCTGAGGAGAATTTTTGAAAAAATTACAGTTTACCAAGAAAGCATATGGAAAAAGCTTCATGTCCAGACTTGATTTGCCCTCTGCTTTGGCTTTGCTCAGATTGAGTATGCTGCTTTCTAACAGTGCTCTAGAAACTGAGTTGCAGTTCTTGGTTTTTGGCAGCTATGGTACTTTGTAACTGGTCGTGTCTGATCATGGTCCATTCTTCCTTTATGAGGCAGAAAGGATGCTGATGCTTCTGCTCTTATGCTTTAATTGCTGGTGTAGTACCTCTGAAGTTAACTGTGCAGTGGTGTCCAAATTATATTAAAGATTACTTATTGAACATCAGTCATCAAGGTGGTTTTGGTGTCTCTTTCATATTTTATGTTTAGATAGGTTGTGTAACATAACTGTGTGCCCAAAAGGGGACATTGTGTGATTATTGACTTGCTCCTCAGCAGTACCACTGGCAAAGCTGTAAGGAGAGCTGTGGTTAGTTAGATCTATCTCTGGCTCCTTGCACATTTCACTCAAATGACTTTGTGGCTAATTCTGCTGGAGCCTTAGGGAATTTAGCAAATGTATGTCATGGATGAGGAGCTGACCTACAACTAAGACGGTAACTAAGAATATAGCAACTATTTAGATGAGAAGCAAGGCTCAGACCTGGATGAAATTCATGATGCTTGAAGAAACAGTCAAGAGGCAGGGAAGAAACCAGACTACTTGGAAATTACCCTCTAGATGTCATAGCAGTGAAGCTGTTTGCATGATCTTTGATGAATAACCACAATCTAAATCTTTGTGATTCCTGATAAATGCTCTACTGAAAATATGACTGGAAATGTAATTTTTGTGTGCGTGTGTGTGTCTGATCACAAAGTGAAAGAAACTGGGGGAGTAGTGGTCAAAACTATTGTTTGATAATTGTTTGCTTGCTGAAATAATTCCCTTTGAGTCTCCACTGTGAGATTTGAGCCTTTGAAGTGCTCCCAATAGCTTACTATTCAAAATGCAACAACTCTGGAGAAGATGGGAGACCAGCCTAGAACAGCTGCTGCTGTAGGTAAGGACCCTTGCAGTGTAGGGGACACAGGAGCTGGGATTTGAACCTGAGGTTTGTAAACTGAATGAGATAAGTGTCTGACCTTTTCCCCTACTCTGCTGGAGTTTAGACAGTGAAACATGAAGAATTAACTGTCTTCTAAGAGTGTGCATTACTTATGAATCACTTAATTTTCTAATCACTTGAAATATCCAGGCATCTGCCATCACCAACTTGCAAAAGGTTCACAAAGGTGGGAAAAAGTGACTTCCCCCTTTTACTGCCTGCTAGGGAAGGCAAAGTGCAGAAAGGATTAAAGCAGATTATTAAAGATTGCAAATGAATCAGTGACAGAGCTGTGGTTAGAACTTGCTGCTTCTTTGAGCCTTGACTTTTGGTCTCTTCAGACACTGTGTTATGTGTCTGTGTGCACACAAGTTGGAAAGGCTAGGCATGGGCCATTTGGAGGAGGAGACAGAAAGAAATCCCTGTACTGATGGAAGAGGTGTGATTTAAGCATGGGCTGGATAACTAATTTGAGGTAGGGATTATTCTGTTAGACTTTGGATAAATTAATGCAGCATTAAGTTGAAGCATTACAGCTTAATCTTTTGTAGTATTAAGCCAACATATGTTTTCTTATACTAAATTGACATAACATAGAATAATGAGCTTATAGCTTCAGGCTCTACCTAGAATCCCTGTGCGAGAGGCTGGTGGTGTGGGCAGGGGTCAGTCTACAGCTGAACAGAATGACTTGTTACATAAATCACAGTACCTTACTTATATTTTCTGTAGTGATTTTTTTCTTCCTTATTTGATAGTTCATAGATTTCAAGTTTTTGTAGCACCTGGCACTAAACTCGAGAGTGGGCCTGCTACCCTGCACTTCTGCAATGACATCCTCGTCCTTGCCAAAGACCTCCCTCCTAGCGTCATGGGGCAATGGAAACTCTCAGACCTGCGCCGATACGGAGCTGTCCCAAATGGATTCATCTTTGAAGGGGGTACCAGGTGCGGCTTCTGTAAGTACAAATGGCCCTGTCTTCTAAACGTTGTTCGCAGCCTTTTTGTGGAAATGCAAATGCTTATTTTGTCAATGTGGAGTTTGTGGCACCAGCTGTGTAGCTTTGTCATACAGTCAGCTTCATGTCAGAGGTTCCGTTCTAGTAAGTAGGTTTCTGCTGGCCTCAACCCTGGTGTTCAGTAGAAATGTGACCATGTGGAGTTGTGGCTGAACATTGCTGTGTGGCTCTCCAGAAGATGTTTTGTCAGTTGTTGCTGGTAGACTCAGAGCAAGAATAAAGTAGTGAAATTTTAAGACCTGGTCACCCAAGAGATTAGGCAAAATGGTGTAATGTTGAGATTATTAAATTATAATTGATTCTGTTGCCTGCAGAGGGAAAGTGATGCTGAAGCTTTGAGGTTACCTGCAGAATCAAGGCGCTTCTGTAAATGCTAATACCTAAATCCAGTAGAGGAGTAGTTCGTAAAAGTTAGAAACTTCTGCTTGTTAGCAGCTTTGTCACTCTAGGGGACCGTAGGATTCATGGGGTCAAAATGAAAGCAAGTAAGCTGAAGATGGAGGGAAATCTCTTGTTCTAATGTCTTGTTTGGGACTTTTCACATTACCACTTCAGATAAAATGCAAACAAACAAACAAAAGAGCTGAAAGGAAAAGATGATTAATGCAGTAGATATACCATACACGTCAGTTGAAAACCTCAGATTTTAACTTCAAAAGCAGAATTTGAAGCTGTGCTATACTGATGATTGAGTGCAAATGGATGTGCATATTTCCAAATTGGATGTGAAGTTGTGTGGCTTTTGCATAATACAATGTGAAAATAACTGATTTCTTCAATTATTAAAATAATAATAATAAAAAAAAAACACATAAAGTTTCCAAGTTGATTGAAATCCAAAAATATTATTTTGTGGTACTTCTAGCAAAATTTATGTAGGAAAGAGGAATAGTTGTGTCCACTTTACAATAGTGAGAGTTATTTGCTTTGTTGAAAAACACAGAGCTGAGTTACAGAGGTGGTTAGTATGGACTCAACGGTCATACCCTGATTTCTGATTTAGGACACTTTCTTGTAATGCAGAAGACTCTACTTCAACTCTTTCTCTGCCTAATGTAGATGTTGGGGTTGAAGAGGGATTTCCAGTGTCTGAAGGAATGCGTTGTAGGTACAGCCGGTAGGGAAACAAATCTGTTTTTTGTTAAGGTTATTGTGTTTCAGTTAAAAGGTGTGGGAACAGGAACACAAGTGTCTTGTTTCCCAGTGGCATGGTTCAGACTGTCAGCTAGATGACTGGTTATAAAGTGTAAGGGGAAGTCAGCACAGTCACCTTTTTCCTCTCTTTTGTGATTCTGCAGATTCAAGTTTAGCCTGTGTCAACTGCAATTAGTGTACATCTGCCAACACCTGCAGTTTTGGTTTGAACAGGCTTTCTTCCAGGCAGAATAAAGCATTTGCATCTCTGTATGCAAGTACCATTTTACTAGAACTCTAGCTCGCATTTAAATGTGTGCACTTCTGTGCAGACTTAATTTGGGTCTGCTTTTTGAATTCTTAACTGAAAATAGAAAATCTTCAACTAAGCATTCAGAACGCTTATGGGAAGAACTTTCCAAAACTGAAATAGTGTTTTTTTTTTTTAAATATATATTTTTTTTACACTGCTGTACTTTTTAGAGTAGTAGGTTTTGAACTAATAAAATTTAAGATCATTTAACTGTGGAAAACATATTTAAAAGTATAGGCAGCTGAAAAAAAATGCTAAGCAATCTTTAAGTAAGATTAGCAATGGATTGGTAACTTGGATAATCTGTGTAATTTATGTAATTCCTCCAATGAGAGAATATAAAACTTAACAAGGGTAATTTGTAGTCCTGAGGCTCTCTAGGGAAGAAGAGCATCTGTAATTTTTAGTGAGTAGAAGGTAGAGCAGTACCTTCTGTGATACGTTAAATTCAATTTTTCCCTTAAATCCTAAAGTAGGTGCCTCAGAGAAAGAAGACATTAATTTCTTACTAATAAGGGCTTCAATTAATGGCTTAATTTTTGGAGTGCATAATTGATGGCAAATGGAGTACCTGTGGATCCCACACATGTTTTATGCAGACTTTCATTAGAATATGGAAGAAGACAAAATAATATTGAGGGCTATCCAAAAGTAGAAATAACTAGCAGAAAACAATGATGGATGTTGGGACATAGGGTTCTCCTTTAAAACAAACAAACAAACAAAACCCAAACTGAATAAACCCCCCACAATTGGCTTTTTCTCTTTCATACTTTTTCAAGAGGGACTGTTCATCACTGACTGACAAAGAATTTGCCACACGCATTCCTGAAGAGTCCCTGTGTAGATATACCACAGTTTGAGAGGGACATTGTGATAGGTTATAGAGAATAGACATTTACCTCTCCTCAATGTGTGATTTTTATTATAACATTGATGAATGGATACAACTTCAGTTCTGGCTTTCATTCTTGAAAGGGTTAAAGTAAGGGGTATTTGCAGGTCAAAATGGCATGTGCTGACTTATTTATCACCTATCCTGTGTGGCAGTGTTTCTCTTTACCATCTGCCTGAACCAAATTTGTGAAATGTGTGGTTCGCTATTTGCACGCTTATGTGTGCTGGTTACCTTGCAACTAGTCAGGAAATTGCTGCCATGGTGTTTGCTGGTACAGTCAGACCACCTCAGCATGCAACAGGGCTGCAAGGATGTGCACGGGGTGAGGCTGGGTTTATGAACAGTGCTGTCAGGAGTGGTGGATGAGTAAGCAAGTGCCTCTAGTACAAGACCTTGTTCCCTGCCAAGATTCCCTGAGGATGTGGGTACCACTGATACCGCAAAGAAGGCGGTCTGCAGGAGGTAAGTAACAAAAAGTTAGATGGCTGAGCCACTCTCCGGCCTGCTGGACTCTTGTTTGCTTGCAGGTATATCTATAACAGCTTTCTAGGAGGTCCTCTAGAGCCTTGCTTTGAGGCAAGCAATACGTGCTCCTTGGTTGTACAGCTTACCCAAATCATGTGTTTGTTTTATATTTGCTGTTGGAGGGTTGCCTGTGTCCAGAAATCTGAGTATAGCATCTCCACAGTAACTGTTTTGATGACAACTCAATTCTGAGTATTCAGCAATACGGCACTTGATATTAGCATAAAGGAAGAAGGTACATTTTGACAGGATCTACCTCAGTTTAAAAACCAAACAAACAACTTTTCTCTTTCTTTGAGTTTTTTGTAATGAAATTGAGTGGGTCTGTGTTATTGACCATGTACTGTTATAATCTGTATTTATAACTGGAATGGAATATATTAGATTAATAGTATATCACCCTATAATTCTATGTGATGTTGTTAAAGATGTGTATTTCTCCAAATAAAGTTAGAGGAGTAAGTAATATGAACCGTGTTTGTGATACCAAAAATGTGAATATAGATGACCTTCAGTTTGTATTTCATTTTCATTACAGCATCTAGGGAATAACTGTTTCAGTCTTCTTATTGGATTAGGTAGCAAATGCAAGCACATATTACAGCATTACTAACATACAGGGACTTTCATTTACTTTACTTACGTTGAACATTTTAGTCTTTTTCATGTCCTTTGTCATCGGGTCCACCACCCCATTCAGCAGTAGGCTGAAGCCTGGCCTCATTTTCCCTTTTCTGCTAATACACTTGTAGACACCCTTCTAGTTGCTCAGTCAGCTCTCCTGGATCCATCTTCTCTCCAGGACTGCGTACCTTGGGATACTTCCAAGTAGATTCAGGGTCAATGAACAGGCTAAATTCTGCTCCTGCGGACTGATTCTAGGAGGTGGGAGTGAAGATGTTCTGGGTCCCTAGGTGAGCATTAAAATGATAATAACCAAACAAACATGGAATCTTCTTTTTTTTTATTTTATTTTTTAATTTTTTTCTTCTCTCTCGGTTGCCTTACTGGAGAGGATAGTGAAACATCTCTAGAAAAGTTGAAGTGGTGGTGGTTGTGTTGCTCTGTGTGTCTCTTCTGGTCACCATACTACTATGGAGTGGGAAGCCTCAGTTTCTGGTTTCCTTCAGGGCTTCAAATATTTGGTTTCTTCCTGCTGAGGAGCAACTGGTGCTTGCAGAAAGAAGGGTCTAGGCTCAGTATGGGGCCTGGAAGGTGTCTCCCTGGGATTAGAAGAGAAAAGTGCAGTATGCCTCTGTATCCTTGCAACTGGGAGCACAGCTACAGGGATGGATCCCGTATTCTGGTCGCTGCTCCCAAACTTAAAGCTTGGTTGTGTAAGAAAGCCCCAAATTAATAGGATATATAAATAGCTCTCCATTTACATTATTTAGTTAAATTGTGGCATATCTTCTGTAAGTAGTTTTGGATTTGATACAGTTGCTGTGCTCCAAGAATTTCAGCTGATTTGGGCTTATTGATTGCGGCTGTATCTTATTTCCGCATTGCAGAAAACCTAAATGGTTCGCTTCATAGGCCAGGATACCAGCTGTGTAAAGAATGTCTGGTATGAAATGTGGATGGATGATGCAAATGTGAAGCTATTGGTGATGGATTTGCTCCAGGAGCTTGAAGCACTAAATTACCTATGTTATGCTGAAGTTTTCCCCCCAGCCTCCCTCTACCCTTTAATCTTACCCTAATTTCTGGGTGCTGCTTTTAAAGAATGGAATATTCTGTGAGTGTTTTTTTTTTTTTTTTTTCTTTTTTTTTACACTACTGTAAATTGGGAGTATTCCCCAGAAATTGAGTCAAAATGTTGCAGGTGAAAAAAAGGAACAAATAAGATACCTTATCTTTCAAGGGAAACTTTTCTGGTTTCAGGGAGGTATTCTGCATTTCTTGATATACACTTAATTAAAATGGTGTTTGAAGTTGTGGTGAGGCATACCCAAATAATGTGATTTCTGAGTGGCTGCTGACTGTTTCTGAAAGTCCATTGCTGTTTTGAACACTGGCATTGTTGTGACTCTCTAATCCTTTAAAATGTGTAAAAGTGTGCATTAGGCTAGACAGTGGTCTTGAGTCTTGTAGATCCATTTATATCCATGGTCTTATAAATTCTTTTTAAAATTTTTCCAGCCTAATTTTTTGTTCTTATATCCAATATTGTTGTACTGTCATTGTTCTTTAGCATCATGTTCTCGTTCTCTCTGATGCTTACCTCTTAGGACATCTTTAGAGCCTTTATTTATGCTCTGTGTCTCTTTTGCTAGGCTAAGTAAGCCCAGCTGTCTTCCCTGTAAAATACAGCAGCTAGTCAGTAGCTCTCCAGTGTACCTGTTTTTTTAGTATGAATTAATCTTTGGCTGCCGGCCACCAAAATTACAAAGTATTTTGAAAAGGGTCCTACTATATTTTTGTGCATGATATTAATATTTCTTTTTTTCTTTAGAAGTGTCTGTCTTGATACCTGGCATAGTTAAGAACCTTTGATTGCCATGGCCAGATGTTCTTGCATCTTGTCCCCTGCCTGTACCCATTCAAAGGAACAAAATGCATAATAATTGTGGTACAAAATAGCATAACGTGGTAGGAAACTCTTTACTTAGTGAATTCAAGCAACTTCTTTCACTGAGTCTCTTACCCGAGGGAGGAAGGGGGGGGAAAGGGAGAGAGTGCTCTTCAGTCTAGCAAACAGCTGCATGGCATTACAGTGATGCATACCACATATTCCTCAGCTTCCAAATGCTTGTGAACCAAATCTGTTCCAGCACATGGCTGAGATGTGTAATTTCTAGTAGTGAATTTCACAACTTTCACAAGAAAGTGGAGAACAAATGTAATGGCTGGCTTTTATGTATGTTTTCAAAACATAACTTCTTTGGACCTTACCTAGTCATTCATCTCACCTGATGTATTTTGCAAGGACTCCTTAGCTTCTTCCCTTCTAGTTCTGTCTAACAAAACAAGAAATAAAACGTATCTCGTGCAAGTTGATCAGCAGTTATGGTGATCAAGTGAATAATGAAATCTATAAAGAAATGACGGATATGTGCATATATTGGATTTGAACCCCTGGGCTAGGCATGTGTATACACTGCTTGCACAACTTATATAAAGGCATTCATATTTGTTTTTGGAATTTCCAAATGTGTATTAGTTCTCCACAGAAATTATGCCTTGAATTGAGTAGCCAATTCATACAGAAGTAAATTTATGCACACATTTACTTTTTTGTTTAAAGTTACAGGCTTGTAGAGCCTCCCAGGAGTTTAAGAAGCACTCTTCTTAACAATAGTGATACAAGAACAAGCAGTCCAGATGAAATCTTTATGTGCAGAAATATTGGAGCTATCTTCTTTTCCTGAGTGGTAACATGGATGTGTAGGATTCTTCTGAGATATTAGGCCACATAGTCCATCACCGTGCTTTAGGTATGAACGTCCTCTGTTATGTTGTCTCCATACCCTGGCTGCTTATTGTGAATGGGATGAGAAGGTCATGTTTAGCAAAGCCTTGTGTCACCTCACTTCCTCAAGAAAGGCATGTCCATTGGCGTTGATGTGATTCACAGGAGAAGAGTCATACCCTTTAAGGTGAGGCAAACTGATTTTTACTCAATGGGGGAAGGAGCTCAGATCACGAGCTGAATTTCAAGTTTCTGAATGCATACTTTGCACCCAACTCTTTCTAATACAGAATTCTCTGATTCTTGGTCATCTCTAGAAGAGGGGGAAATGAGACAAAACTGTGTGTGAGTCACCACCTGAAACTTTCATACCTGTCAGACTGCATGGATAGTGTTGTAATCTCCTAGATGGTTTTTGATACTGAAGCCATTGTGTGTATATGCGCTATGAGAAAGTGCAGGACAAATAGCTTTTAAAAAACAAAACAAAACAAACAAACCAAAAAAAAACGTATCAAAAATGTAAAGTAGCTTATATTTCTTGAGCTAGTGTGTGTGTCAGTCTTAATTCAGTTGCTTAAACATAGCTTAATGTTTTAATATTTGTCTAACTTGAGTCTCAAGTAATGTTTCAGACCTTATACTCTGGAAATGTTGGCAAGCCAATTCTCTAGTATGACTGAATGAGTACCAGCAGATGAATTCTAATTCCAGTTGTGTTTATAGCAGTTTGCCAAATGAAATAAACCGGACCAGGAGCAGGATTTCTTTCTTTCAACTAGGAAAGTGTTGATCAGTAAGATCTGGAGAGTAACATATCTGATGGTGTGATATAGCAAATTAGAAGATGCTGCTAGCATCCTAGTCTTGAACAGATTAAAGCAAAGCAGGCAGAGACTCAGATGTGACAAAAACTAGGAATGACACAATTGTGAACCAAAAATCGCTTTTGCCTGCAGTAGTCCTTTACTCCTTGCTGGCTGTATCTAATTTCCTAAAATACTTTGTGGTCTATGTTTTATTTTCACCTTTATTTGAATCCAATAGCTCTTTGTCAAGCAATCAAAAGCATATCCATTGCTCAAGTGAAATGTGGATCCTCTTGGATAGGACTAGGGATATGTGTGGGAAGTGGTGGGGGTGGAAGTGTTCTGGTCAAAACCGGTGGTGCTGCTTTAAGTAAAATTGACAAAAATATCCATGCAACTCAGAAAAGGCTAGAGAAATATATCAAAGCCAAACTTATACCCAGACTAATGACCCAAGCCCCTATGAGAGTAATGCGTAAAATTCTTTGCAGGACTAAGATTTGATTTCTGGTTTTCTAATGTGCTAAGTTCTGGTGAACTGGCAGCACTTTGTAAAAATCTATATGCTAATTTAACTGCTTACTGGGGTGGAGGGTATTTTGCCTAATGTTTTCAGATCATCAAGAAGGCAAGCTACACTTTTCTCTGATGTGAGTACGATTTGGGCTGACGGTTCTCAAACAAAATGTTCTGTGGAGCATTTTTAGTCTCGTGTCTTGTTCGCGTAGCTATATATCATGCAGCTCAGAACTTGTTTGTTTATTTAGTGATTCTCATTCTAATTTTGCTTGGGGCTATTCTTAATGAATGGAAAGCAAAATATCAGAATAGAGCGAAGGGTAAAGATCTGATGACAACCTGTGGAGTCGTGTTACGTTCTGTTAATAATAGGCACATAGGACTTAGTCTAGGCTGTTCTAACAAGTAGAAAAAATTATAATATAATGCAGCAATATAAAAAAATCCCGATCAATATAGGGTATAAAACACTATTCTTTGATATAATTGAGTAAAAATAGAATTAACCTGGTTCATTTTGCTTTAACACTTTCAGTATCTCTGACACTTACATAGCTAAGATTGGATCTACAGAATTCTAGGGGTAACTGAGAGTAAAAGACCCAGACAGCTGTAGAGCATATGGTTTGTGTTTTGGCATTACTCTAACTGTCTGCGTTGCAGAAAATCAGCTTAAATGATTAGTTAGCTGTTGAATTTATGTGTATTTTCATGACATACTGTGTATGCTGACCCATTTTCGATTTTCTGTTTGCAGAATGTCTTGTTGATTTCTTTTCATGGCTTGCATTTTATATGATTTTGATTGCTATGTTATAAATAGCTTCAGCTAAATATATTTCTGATGTATCCAGGTGAAAAAACATGCATTTATGTTGTGCTTTCTTGCAGGGGCCGGTGTTTTTTTCCTTTCTTGTGCTGAAGGGGAGCAGATCAGCTTTCTGTTCGACTGTATCGTCCGTGGCATCTCCCCGACGAAAGGCCCTTTTGGTTTGCGTCCAGTCCTACCAGGTTAATATAGGAAGTACAGCGTGACCGAGCAAAGTAGGAACTTGCCATGTCTAGCACTTACTGCTCTGATTGTAAGAACAGCTTGCAGACACTAAGGGTGCAGAAAGTGCAAAGTGGTTTTCATTCTGAAATGTCACAGTACAGATGTATCAGTTGAATGTACCCAGTTTCACCCTGTTGCTCTGGCTCATTCAGATTTCTGTTGATATTGCTATCTTTAGCCTTCTCTTTTTTAAAGGTTCTAAAATATAGCAATTTGAGTTGTGAGGATTCCTAACCTTTAGTTTTAAACTTGCACAGTGCAACTTGGATCCATGTCAGAATTACTATTTTGATAGTTTAATGAACTGAAACCTGGAAAACTAACTTCTGGGGTATTTTGAGTTCATCCCGAACACTTAGAAAAGTCTTGCCAACCTTAAGCTTTGTCAGGCCTCTATCAGTTTTGCAGCTTTTTTTTTTTTTCTGATGTGCAAGGATTAAATTAATTTTCTTATTTCATGGTAAATGCTGCATGTACTGTAACGGTTGGAAAGAAAATTAGAATCACAGTAAGCCCTGTTGCCTTTTGACTTCAGCAGATGAAAAAAATACAGTGTTGAGTTGGATTGACCCTGTCAAACAGGGCAAATGTGTGGAAATAAGATTGCAGAAAAATATCTGTGTATTGGCAATGTGATATAGTGGGAATAGGCTGAAAGAATGGTGAAGGACAAGGCAGGATGTATAGGAAATATTTAAAGTTTCTGTTTAAGTGTTAGACATTTAATAGGTGTGTTACAAAGTTTTATCACTGTAAGATAATCAATTTCAGGAAGGAAGTATGATGGAAAATGTTAGGTTTGGATATGAAACTTGTGAAAATAAACTGCAAAAAGTTAGTTAAGGTAAACAAAGTAGCCACAAGGTTGATTTTCTCTTCTTCCCATTATTGTAACAGCAAGGTACGTTAAACAACCAAGTGGCATAGTAGGCAATGAGACCTCGTTCTTCTTATATGATGATGTGTGTTTACATTGAACTAAGAGGAGTGATTAATAAACAAACCACAACCACCAAAAAAACAATCAACCCACTTCACTCCCCCTAAAACAGTGCTGATACTTAAAGCTTTGCCATCGAATGCATATTTTCTGTATTTCTAAAACTTTCCCTAAATCTTTCATTTTACAAAAATGGATATCCAGAAAAGTTATGCTTACAATGACTTTTTCATTTAAATTTATTATTACTATTTTTTAATTTTTTAAATTTAATTTATTATTTTTATTATTTATTATTTTATTATATTTATTATTTTATTATATTTAATTTATTAATTTATTTAATTTATCATTACTATTTTTTTTTTCCTTTCCCTCCTTCAAGTGTTCTGATCTCAGTGAGCACATCCAATGGATGTGGAAAATCTTGAGGATGAGTTGGTGATTTGTGCAACCTCTTTTTTGGGGTCTGTTTCATTTGTCTTCTTGGCTTGATGGACCTGCCACTGAGATGTAGTCAGCCACTGGATTTCAGTTTGTTTCCTTGGTCAAGATAAGACCAGCGTTCTGTAGGGAACTGTGCTCATGTTCTTGCCTACTCCTTTGTGGCCCCTTTCAAAGCTACTTTGGTCCAACTGTTATTTTCCGGTATCTCTAACCTTGTCTCTTCCATTTTTTGTTACCCATGTTATACCTTCTCCTTCGTAGAAACTTTTTATTTTTCATGTTCTCCTCCATTTATTGTACCATTCAGAAGCTTACACAGACCTGTTCAATTCACATACACATATACGATACTAGTGATTCATCTATAAAATAACCTCACTTATCAAGTATGCTACTGCACAAAACCTGCTGTATTGCTTGAAAAGGTCAAGTCTCTACCAGCTGCATACTGTATCTGGTAAGAGTACTGGAATGCATGCAACCTTTTGAAAGGGATATGGTAAATAAATGAGTCATCTGCACACCTCAGATAACTAGATAAAAATCCACAAACTGAGAATTTTACCAAAAAACATCAATATTATTCATATTTACTGCAGCGCAAAGTGCTGCACACCCTTGACTGTGCTTTATATATGCAATGTTCTGTTTTTCTATAATTTATTTTGCTTAAAAGCTTTTTAGCACACTTTTTGTAGCAGCTTTTTCCACAGTTTGCCAGCTTCTTGCTTTTGGCTGTACCTCTCCAATTTAAACATGAAATACGCTTGAATAACTATTAGGGATTCCCAAGAAAGGCAAAGACACAAAACCAATCTTATGTTGAAAAAACGTGGTGTAAAAAAAAAGCCATATTGGCAGTGTTCTTGGGGTTCCAATACATGCCTGACATATATAATTATACAGTCAGCATTTGCTTAGTCTGCCATATGAAAAGGGTAATGAATGACACCAGTGGCTCCTTATGTACAAACACCTCATTTAACTGTTGTTAAATGGAGCACTAAAGTATATAAAGATATGCATGTACAAAGGAAATTTGATCAAGTACTATATTCACATCTTCATTTTGGGATTGCAATTTTAAAAAATACACCCTATTTCTTTAAAAGCTTGGTATTCTTATATAGATGCATTTGATTATTGTGTGTATGTATGTCATCTGTAAAATATATAGTAAGTGAAAATGTTGTGGAGTGGAACTCATAAACTTGACTGACCCTATAGCAAGTCGCAAAATCTGGTCTGACATTTCATAACTGACCTTGCTTTGAGCAGCAGGTTGGACTGAGAACTCTTTTGATCCCTTCCAACCTGAATTGCTCTGTAATTTTCTATTTTTTATTTTTTTTTGAAATGCATGGCAAGTGAATAGGAATATTATCATGATAAAAATAATTCTGTTGTGTGTACATACAAAATAAAATAGAAAATGAAAAGAACGTTAGCTCTTTTACAGTTTACCACTGTATAGTGCTTATTTTGGAAGCCCATCAATTTAGAAGAAGCATACCAAAATGCAGTTGATTTGTTAAAGGCTGTGTAACCAGGTCTCACATTTTAAGACATGACATTGAGTGGAAATCCAAAGATAGTGTATGTATCTGTAGATGGTTTTAGGCAGTGTAATATTTTAATAAAGGACTTAATTGAGTGACAGGAGGTCTTTGGACTGCTTATTTTTCCCCAGCTGCTAGCTGATATAATTGCTGTAATTGGCTACATGCACAGTCCTTTTTTTTTTTTTTTTTTTTTTCCTTGAGAGGATATTTAGTAAAACAGGCCAGAGAATTTTTTGTTCTTGTCTTGACAGAAATCTAGGTATTGACAAAGTACTGAGTCACTGATGGCATGGTTTGTAATCTATACTGAATTTTCACGCATGTTATCTGAGAACTGTTTGCTTATCAGGTGTGTGTTGAATTCCTTCTTTTCACTAACAAGAGTCATCTTGAATTCCAAAGATGAACACAGCAAAGGGACAACAATCTACTGGTGATATCCTTCTTTGTTGCATGGGACAGATCTTTACCCTGTAAACCTGGCTAAGGCTAAGGGACAGCCTAGTCTTGCAGGCTGGAGAGACTCCAAGTGTAATGTTGATAGTCTTGATGCTCTCTTTTAATTTTGGAAGCTTTTTCAGGATGCTTTGTGACTGACTGGAGAATGTGCAGTGCTGCTTGCTGAGGATCTATCTGATGCTCTTTTTTTTTGTCGAAGCTTGATACACCTTTGACCATTGCAAGACAGCTCTGTGGCTGCCTTCTGCAGTTATCTGTACCAAGTGGATCCTCCTCAAACTTTTAGGACATCTTTGCATTCCTCCAGACATCTTACAGGGTGTGGAGATGTTAGCATGAAGGTGAGGGGCCAGGTCTGATTTGCAAATATGACTGCAGTTACAAAGGAGGAAAGGACAGATGTTCAGCCTAATTTATCTAACTTTGTTTAGCAAAGTAATTAACCAGTTGCATTTTAAGGATGCATATAATCAAAAATATCTTAAGTAGCTGCTGACTTAACATGATATGATGCATTCTTCCTGGCAGGTGCTTACCAAACAACCTTGGAGCTTTGAATTACAGTGACAATTTATTTGTGGATTACCAAAGCATTCAAAATCTCCCACGAAGAGCAGCTGATGTGGCTCTAATGAATAACCACCAACATAATATAAAAATAAAATCTCCATCAGAGACATTTTTAGTCCAGCCAAATTTGATGTAATCCTTTCCTCTTTGCCCCAAAGCAGGGTTTAAGAAACTTTCAGTGATTGCCTCAAACAAAAGATTTTTCTTTATAGCACGGAAACCATTTCTGGTTGGGAAATGATAAAGCACTTTTGTAACTGAAGAACTTGAGTGAATCTAATTGCCTAGATTCCATGGGAGTAAATAACATAAATAACATTATAGGATACATTTGCCTAGAGTTTGGGAAATGAAGGTACCAAATTGCTCTGAATTGTTGGAACTGCTGTAGGATGTTGTGTGGGCAGAAGCTGCCTGAACTTCCTTGGACAGCAGCTTCAGTACCAGTCATGCTGCTGCTGTCCTCCTGAGTTAGTAATATGGCAAATTATTCCACAGTTTCTTAGGAGCTTTGAGGTACAACTGTTGAGGGAAAACAAAACAAAACAAAACTTTTTATTTACTTATTTATTTTCTTAACCTTATTTGTAGGTTGATACAGCAGGAGAGCATAGGTTATTCTGGATGGCTGCCAGTGACTTCATACCTTAAACTTACGTTGTAATAAAACCTCCTGATGACCGATAGGTGGTCTATAATCGAAAATTCTGGTGTAAGACTACACTCCCTGGAAATGGTATTTTGTGTGTTTTCTATAGAAGTCCTGCTTATTAGCAGAGAACTTAAAGGTTAAATGTGAAACAAAGACTGCAGTAAAACTGACAAACTACTGCTAATAGTATCTGCCTAAGAGTTTAGGTCTATGTACACATGGTAGGCTTAGAATTGGTTTCTCTAGATGTCTTCTAGTGCTTGCTGAAAAAGGGTTCTTATAATCCTTTTTCCCCAAGGCTGGGCAATGAGAGGTCAGAGCATGTAACTATGAACCCAGTTTTCAGATAGCAGTTTCTATCTCACGAGTGATGTGGCAAGGAGGATCTTATACATAGGGGATCTGTGACTGTAGGTGTGTGTTAGTTGATTAGGAAGTTGGTTTCCAGAAGCAATTGAGCATCTGAAATGTGGAGCTTAAGGATTCACTTCTAATTCCCTTCTACCTCCCTATCTTATATTTTATTCAAGGCCATTTTTGCAGGAGCAATTTCTTGACCAGTGTATGTGTTTTTTTTTTTTTTTTTTTTAATTTCAGTTATAATGCCTTTTCCTTCTGCAAGAGGGATAACAGTTATTAAAAAGCTTATAGCTGTGTATGTGCTCTAGTAACATTCTGAAAATCAATATGCATCAAGCAGTCAAATTTGTGAGGAAAGGGGAAAGATCTTTCCTACTGACAGTTCTTTGTTGTTGCAAGGACTGCTGTCTGTTGCATCCTGGTTTGACTCATTTGCAGGTCTGTTACGCTAACTTTCCATTCCAAGTGCTCGTGGAACCTTTTTGAACCTTTTTAGACATGAGAGCATTTAGCTAGTACAGTAGAGTAACTGGAGCCGAGGACATCTGAAAACAGACTCAAGCAGTAGCCTGTGACGCATTTTGCCACCGAGGAGATCCTTGCATAGACCTGTCTGAGTTGCACCATAGGTGCTGGTGGCCAAATCTCGGATCTGCCTTTGGCAGAGATCCATATGGAAGCACTGGGGGTTTCATTTGAGTAAGCAGTGACTCAAGCAGGTTTGAACTAGTCAGTACTTAATGTGAGTTATATTGCAGGGGAAATAGGAATGGAGACCTAACAAAATAATAATTAAAAAATACATATAAAACAGTCCTCTTTTCTATTCTGAAAGGTAGGTTTGGAGGGTGTCAGACACTGACATCAAGTGCTGTTTCAGCTGGGAGAAACAGAGGTCACATACTTTGTTTGTCACAGGCTGTCACAGGCCTTGTTGTCCTGTCCCTGTTAGAACATCTTTGATTTCCAACATATGCTGTTATAGCAGGACTGTGTGTATGCCTGGCTTGTTCTGCTAATCTCATCTAGATAGCTAAATATGGAAAACCCCTCTGTGTGGAGAAGAAAGTTCAGCATTGTCACTTTTGCTACTGTGATGCAGTCCCGTCTGTCCAGGACAGGTCAGAAAGTGTGAATGGGGTCATGGAGGAGAAAGAATTTGTGATGTAGGCACTTGTATGGAGCCTCAGCTCATCTGGAAAAGCCACTTCCCCTGACTATGAGCTTGCTTTGACTTTTGTGTTGACAACATCAAACCCAAGTCATTAGAAATGGAAAGACCTGGGCTGAAAAGGAAACTGTCCTTTCATCATTTCAACTTTTTTTTTTCTTTTACTAACTCAACCATAGCAATGTGTAGCCATTTTCTTCCTTTTCCCCTTATTAAATGATTCAGTGATTAAATGTTTTTGTGGTGTGCTGTTATTTCAAAGTTGATCAAATATACAAGAGCCACAGCTGTGAGGAAGCTAATCTGCTTTATCTGTCATTAATTCCTTTCCCTGGATAATTGAGGGCTTCTGAAACTTATGATGATGAGCAAGTTAGCAGACCATATCCTTTGCAACTGCTGAACATGACACAATTGTTAGTGCTGTTTGAAGAAATCTGCAAGATTTCTCTTGGGATGATGGCTATGATTACTTTTGACATCTGGTTTTGTTGCTATGCCTAGTTGCAAACCAAGTGGTTTAGAGGAAACTGGTCTGTTTTTCTGATGAAAGTTCTCCCACATTCTGTGTAACTTCTGGTCTTTTTGTTGGAATGGAAAGAGCCTTCTGCAGTGAAGCGATTTTAGCTGGAATGGCAAATACACTAAAATGCATGGAGAAAATCCCCTGCAGCATATTTTAGTTTTTTTTTTTTTTTTTTTAATCATTCTATCTTACCTTGTATTGAACAGGAACACCCTCACCACACTGCTTCTCCTCTGACTTCTGAACTCAGTGATGTTCTGAATATCAACCTTTAAAGCAATGTCTTTGCAAATAGGTGATCTGTATCAGTTGTAATGTAAGGGTATCAAATATTTTAAGCACTATGACTCTAACTTTATTCACTAGATTTATTAATTTGTAGGATGACAAATTCTTTCTTTCTTCGTGATAAAGTACCTGGTGAGTTTGGTGAAGTCAGGACACATTTTACAGGTCACATACATGTATTAGCTTTTAACTCCTCTAGATCTGTAGATATTTCCTCCAGTGCTGTGCTCTTAAGGGTTCTGTCCTTGGTGGCAACTCTTACAGATACCGGGTATAATTTCCAAAAGTCTTTGACATTTAAAATTTTGACTGGTTATGTAGCATTTCTCCAGGATGTGTTTGAAGGCAGATTGTCCCATATATTTTCTGATCAGCATTTTCCATCTCCTGTAACACAAGAATAGAGTGTCTAACATAAGAATGCTTTTTAAATTTCTATTTATATATTTTCATGTCATCTTCTTTTTATTTATTTATTGTATGTTCCTTTTAAAGATCCAAGTACAAATCCAGCCTATTCAGAAGAAAGATTGGCTCATGAAGCTTTGCAATTAGAGAAGCGCTTGAGCTTGCTGTCCCATACAAGTCGCCAGGGCAGTGGAGGTGAGAAGTGTCTTTAATTAAATAAAGATAAATAGTGTTCCCTTCCTTTCTGGGCTTTAGGAATGACCATGTGTATATAATTATAAGATGGTGAGCTTAAAAGAAAAATAATAGAGTGATGGTCAAGATGTTTCATTTATGCTGCTGTTGCAGTCTGAGTTTTGGATCAAACGGTATTAATACAAGAAAATCTTTTAATATGCTGAATCCTGCTGAAACTCTTCATGTGTAACTTCAAATGAACTGCCTGTGACAAGTTTGGTATCTGATTAAGTACTTGACTCATGCCAGCCTGTGAGAGGAACTGACTTGTGTAGTTCACACATCAGGCTTACAGCAGATATCTGTAGTAAATCTGAGGAATCCTGCGCTTTAGTTCTGTGTTACTTTTCTTTTTCTGGTGGTATCTGTGCATGTCCTTTCTGGAGTTATTTATGTATCAGAGAAGAACTGGTGTCTAGCACTAGATTTGTAAAAGGGCCTGTGCCCTGAACTGCCATTTGAATTGCTTAATAACAAAAGTTATATTCTCAAAACATCTGCTTTGCTCTTGACTCTAAAGTCTACAAGCCTAAAAATGGCTGGCGAAGGACATCAAGAGCTTAGTTATTTGGTTCTACACATGTCTATGGTTACTTTGGTCCTGATTTTTAGTCACTGCTGAGTAAAGTGGTTTGTGACTGAATACCACTGACACTTCTTTGAATATATCTACTAGATTGATGTACAACAAATGAAACTGGATAGTGAAGCATGCATGCTGTTTAACCCAGTCACTCTGGTTAGGTAACATGTGGCCAAACTTCATGTACATTCTCTGCTTGAGATTTACTTGAATTTTTGCCACCATTTTCCTAATGATATTATAATCCTCAGAGAATGAGGAATCAAAACAAGCTTTTTCATATACTATTATTTGAGTTTTGCACTGGAAAATTAAACATTTGTGTTTGTGGAAAATTACAATAACAAGAACATGGGAGGGCATTTGCCTGAATCTGGACATCTAGGTTCTGCCACTGCCTTGTGTTGTAGGAGCTCTGTGTTGTAGTTTCAGCTAGTCTGTGGGAGAGCTTCCCTTCCAAAGTTTCAAAGTACCTAAAATAGTAGACTAGGAGATGTAATTTCAAATAAACTATTTTTTTTTTTCAATTAAAAGGTATTTTTTTTTGTCAGAAGATTAACTGTTTTATTTAGCAGGTATTTTTCTTCAGGTATCGGGCATACTGCTGAGAACTACACCAATGTTTTTTGTAATTCATGCCTTCTGTCTAGGTGGCAGCATAATGTCATCTTGGGAGTTACATTTGTGTAGGGGTCACAAGCTATTGTCAAGCAGTGGACACTGGGGGAAAAGAAAGGTTAGATTTCATGGAATAAACATTATTATTTTGTGATAGTACATAACAAGAATTACTTCATGCAGAGTATGAAAATTGTTCTAAACATTTCCCCCTAAACTGAAAATAGAAATAGTTTAGCAGCACCTGAAGCTTATGCTGTGTTTTGTGGTGGACCCCTTACATATCTTCCTCATTTGGTAACTTTTTGCCCAAGATTTAAAATTAAGTAAAATTAATACCAACACAGTGATCCTGGTGTTGGCTTTTGCCGTATTTGTCTTAATAAAATAGGTTTAATTACGAATGAAGAAAATAACTTTGTTGCAGGAGGGTGTTGCTGTTTTGTGTGTGTTTGAAAATGTCCATAAAAGTGCCCTTTTATGCCAATGTTTATTTTTTTTTTCTTTTATCTTCTGTTGTGGATAGCTGTAGATAGCTGTAATTGTGTCCTTGCAAGTATCAAGGGGAAAAAAAATATTGCAATGTATGCATAAATTAATCATGGGAGATCTTTTACTATGTAGATTTGTAATCATTGTCATAATGGTAGTATTGGCATTTTTATTTGTGGCTATGATGTATTATTGCCTTTTGGTATGGATATTATGGAGAAGTACGGTGTAGGGAGACATGAGTGGACAGGACAGTCTTAAGTTTGATTTTATTCTTGCTGTCTCTAACATGCACTTTGTCATTCAGGTAAGATTTAAGTAGAGGGGGAAAAAAAAGTATGAGTAACCATTTGGTTGATTCGGATAAAATAGAAATATTGGAATTTCTTCTGTATAGTGTTGGGTTACAGTGACTAGTTGTTTTTCAGAACACCCTCTGCTGTTCTGAGAATATGGGCCTTTATGACTATGGCCTGTGCGGTAAGAGGAGTGTCTAAAATAAAGCCAAATAACTGTATAGGAGTAAAATATGTTTGAAAAGGGGGGAACTGGGTTCAACAACTCTAAAAATGTAGCCCTGAATGCAGTGTATTCCACAATGTGCTAGGGTTATGGTAAGCTAACATACTATTGCATTTTATTTTTCCAGTGGGGATAGGAATTATTACAGGAATCCTGGCGTTCTGACAGAACTTTCCCTTACAAAGCAGACAGAATTTTAGGGTCCTTTCTGTGCATACTCGTTCTGCTGTCAGTCTCTCCATTGTATTTTAAACATGGGTTGATCCGTTTTCTTCTTTTCTAGGAGATGATAGAAGTCTTTCAAGCTCGTCTTCAGACACCAGCCACTCGGATGTTAGTGTTGGGAGCAGATTGACAATTTGGCCTGAACAATCTTCAGCCAGCACCTCACAAGAGAGTCATGGACTGGCAGCTGCAAAGGGCATTCATCTCGGGGAAGAAAAGACCCTTCCAGAAGGGGCACGTGGCATCACAAAACCACCTCCGAAGCCCCTCCGATCCAGACAGCTGCAGGAAATAGGTCGTCAGAGTTCTTCTGACAGTGGAATAGCTACTGGTAGTCACTCCTCTTACTCTGGAAGCTTCTCTTCCTATGCTGGGAGCTTGGACATTTGCCACGGTGATGAGTTTGGATCGTTGCTAAGCCTGCCATTGAACTTTCCTTCAGATCAGAATTTATGTACTTGTCCTCACAGTGAGCCTCAGAGAGGTGCGGGATCAGAGTATCAGATTCCCAGCTCTCTCAGACATATTTATGACACACCCAGGAGTTTGTTACAGGCAGCTGCTAAAGATGTGCAACCGAAGAGTGCAGATTCCACGCTACCCAAGGACCAGACCCTGCCACCTCATGGTGCTAGTGACCCGAAACTGCTACTACCACGCCTAGAAGCACAGAGGGCGGCTGAGCACAGCCAGGACCGAGGGAGGCCTTCATCCTTACTCCCAGAAAGCACCAAGGACTCAAGTGATGAGACACATGTGGATTTTGTTTCGAGGTGGTCAGATACAAAGCCACAAGGACAGGTGTCAGACTCCAAAAGTAGTGAGTTGGCACCACCTAGTGGAGTCTCAGCTGACCCCTATGACACTTGTAGCCCCCACCTTGGGATGACAAGAGCTCTTTTTTCCGCTTGTCCAATCTGTGGTGGACTAAAGGTAAATACCTAACACTGAGCAGATGCTAACAAGCCTTAATGATAGAGCATGATTAATTTAAAATGGCTTAACTTGCAAGTCATAAATATTATTATTTCCTTTATAATTGTAATAGGCATTTACTTTTGTGTCGTTTATGCTCAAGTTCAGAGGCTTAGTACACAAGTTCCTCAAAATCTGTGCCTGATCAAGAAAACACTGAATAATATAGGCCATCAATCATTGCTTTTAAATTGGCCAGTTTTGTCTTTGAGTGTATGTGAGTGGCTTGTGGTGACAGAGATGGAAGCGTTACAGGCACACCAGAGGGCTGAATTTGTCATATAGTAACAATAATTTAGTATGGAGGTCATTGATCTGTCTTGCTGCTGGCACTTCAAAAGAGGAAAGAAGGGAGGCTAAATAGCATGTTCTACTCTTAAGGATGGCCATGGTGCATATTTTTATTTGTTAGTGTTTCTCTTTTCTTTATTAATGTAGTTTGTGAGCATATCTTGCACAAGAAAAAGCCAGATTAGTGAAGCTTCTTACTGGGGAAAGAGAAGATAGCCCAGTTAGTGTGGCACTCCATAACAGATCACCGAATCCATTATGGTATTTATAACCAGCCTCTGACAGATATTTTGAGGAGGTATACAAAACCAGACAGTGTTCTTGCAGGGAAAGTTATTTTTGATCACCAGTCACAGAAAAACTTAAAACCTGAAGCATGAAAATTCATATACCTTTCTAAACACGTTTTTATCTCTATCACTATCTGTTACTGTGACTTTGTTCCCAAAAGTTTTCTGAATCCTGTTAAATTCTTAAATTCTTGGCTTTTTATGACAGTAAGCTTTATACATTGCATGAAGAAAATATTTATGTTTTTATCCATTCTGGAGAATACTTTTTTCTTTTTTGATAAACAAAAAGAAGATAAATCTGTGTTGGTGAGCTCTTGAAGTGCTGGTAAAGTCAGAGGAGTAAAGTCAGGGAGTGCTCAAATTGGGAATGCGTGAAGTAAGGATTCAGCAAGAGAGACCTCTGTATGAGGAATTAAGTACTGCTGTTGAAGTGTATACTTCTTAATTCATCATGTGGGTTTACATAAATCACTGCTGTGAGAAGGATTTGAGTGTAGAGTAAGTTAAAAAAGAAATTAAAAGATTATAAACTTTAGGGGCTGTTTTCTTCTCATGTGGTGTTTCATGTATTTGCATCATTGGCTGTTTGTGCATATGAAACCTAGAACATCCTTCGTGCCTGAGGTGCTTCTGCGGTTCTGTAACAGCAGTGTGAGAGCACCTAGGACATCTCTTTGTTGTGTACTTGTGGCCTTTGGGAGGAAGGGAAATGCTGGTGTAGGAGGCGGAGGTTGTGTCTGTGCTGCTTTTTAGGATCAGTGTTCTTCCGAGGCCATCCAAGCCAGCCATCTGCAAGCCCTCCAGCCTAATTTTGAAAGCTTGGCTGGATGCAAGGGCCTGAGACTCAGCCTCCCACTTCTGCTCTTCCTGCAGTGCGGGCGGTGAGGTGCTCCCTGGTGCTCAGGCTCCAACTTGGCTTTGTTGGAGGCAGCAAGGAAAGAACCAGTTGGGCTAGGGATAGCTTATATGGTCTAAATCTTTATGGGTGCTCTGAATTGTCAGTTTAGAGATGATTTTATCTATGCTTTCCCTGGACATCTGTGGCAGACAGGCAGTTGAAAGTAAGCATTCTGTGACATACAAACCCATTACTTTTATTTGTGTGTGTATATATATATATATATTTATTTAAATGTGTGTATATGTATAAAAATATATATATTATTGTGAAGGGCTGTCAGGTTTCACAGTGACTCTAACAGCCCTAATAATATCAGTTGGCAAGAATCTCAGGAATAGTCACTAAGCAAATTTAGTGACAGAGAAACGCTCGTGCAACACTTCTACTAACTCTTGTTTTAGCATCATATGCACTTTTTTTTTTTTCCTTACCCAGTTGAAAGTATTTGGGAAAGAATTTATATTAAATTGAATGATTGATGGATTTATTTTTACTTTGGAAAGAAAAAATAACCTTTTGATACATTGTCAAGTTATTTCTAGCAGTATTTAATGGGTACTGTGTTTGGCTTTTCTCATGGCAAATGCATTGAAAGCAGAAATCCATTGCTGTAACTAAAAAATAATTCTTATTTCTCATGCTCTGAACAGAATTTAATTGAGATACAGTTAGGGCCAAAAGGAGTTGATTTATGAATTAATGAAGACATCAGGTTTTCACATTTACTCGAGTTGATGTTCAAAAGGCTTTAGTGTGCCAGTGTTTGGAGTGCCTTTGCAATTTCAGCTTCAGCTGTTAATTAAATTGTGTTGATGGTTTTTTAAATGTCTCCTGTTTCGAGTGAGTGGGTGGCCTGAAGAGAGGAAAGCCTACAGCAGTAATAATGCATGGAAGCATTTATTTTCTGCCCTGTATGAAAACGTTGGCAAATGAAAGCTAGATTTGGGGATGTTGTCTTTGTGTTGGAGTTCAGCATGTGAAGAGCTGGAGACAGGGTGCAGGATGAAGACGTGCACACGGGGAAGGGCTGGCAGCGTTCGGGATGGAGACTGACTAGGTTAAGAGCCACCTGCTCCCCTAATGACATGGTTGATGAGGAGCACAGGGAGAACATACTCTGGGAGAGCGCCGGGGTTTAAACAAAACAGGGGAAGGAAGCCTTTCTGTTTGAATCTGGGTGAAGAATAGAACCAGCATGAATAAAACCACTAAATATTGCTTCTTTAATTTCTATATTGTATTTCACATTAGACACTGGGGATTAATAAGCAAGCATGTAGGGTGATTTGCTTTCTATTTTATGTTATTGTAGTGTGCACAAGATGTTCCTCATTATAAACTTCTCAAGGTGTGCCTTTGCTATGTAATTTTTGCCTAGGTGATTTCAGTGCTATAGATTAATGCAGAGATGAATTGTGTGTATTGTAAGAATATTTTAAGTTCAGAATGTTGAATTGTTGTGGGATTTCTAAGTAAGGTGTAGAGATTTATTATTAGACTTAATTTTCAGCTACTTAGCTGATACTAATTTGAGGAATGGCATTATACTGTAAGTTTGTTGCTCTGTAACTTCATTTGATGCTGTAGTTTGAGAAACTGTCAACGTTTTTTTTATAGGGTGTCTTTTTTTACACCACCACTGTTTGTAAATTTCTGAAAAATAAAATTCTTTTCCAACTGGTTTTGTCCTTTTCCATCTGACAAGTATTGCTTTTATTTTTGCTTTGCTTTTTTGTCCCCTGACCTTCATCTTCTTGCGATTTGAATTAATATGGATTGACTCTGGCTTTCTCTTCGTACTGCTTAGTGCTGGACTCAAATCACTGTTGGCAGCTCAAAATGTGTCTATCAGTAGGAATTACTTTTATGTATTTCTGGTTCACATAAACTCATACCTACGTTAGTTCTTACATCTGTAGAAACACAGGCTCAATTGCAGCTTTGGTAGTTAACTTGCCACCATAGAGGATAAAAGAAAGCATCGTTTGTATGTGTCTGTTGTCATCAGTCCTGTACTGGCACTCAGCCACCTATTTTAGTTGATCATTTAAAAATACCAAAGCCTCCTTGGTGACAATGGTCCCAGACTAGGAGCAGATCCACCAAAGCCCTCTATGGGGGCCCTACATACTATTTGCGTGGTTCCTGCTGCCACAGTAACTGTGTGTCTCAGACTTTGAATCGCCCGGCGTATCTGTAGCAAGCTGAAACACAGGGATGCTGTGGCCACCATGCACAAAGGAGTTTTGGGACTCTGTCAGGTAGCAGGCTCACAGCTCTGAGTGGCTGAGAACCTCTCCCTACACAGCACAGGGAGACCTGGTACCTGCCTCGGGGGGCTGTGGGGGCATTGCTTATGTGGGGAGTTGCTTCGATTAGCTGATACGAAAGTCATCTCTGTTAGTCTGTGCTGTAGAAACTGCTTTATTTTGCACTGTAACTTTTAAGAGAGGGCATGCGCATGTCTGTGCTGTGATCATCACTTCATGCAAGGTCCCTGCAGAGCTTCTTAAACAAATGCAACCTTCTTTGAGTGCACAGTCTCTGGGTAGGTGTAGGGCTGCCGTGCATGTGTCTGTTTCCATCATGCTCTGCACGGAGATGATGCCTAGAGAAGCCCAGGCCTGCTTTGTGGTCTTGGCTGGCCTCACTTACCAAGGTCACGCGAAGCCTGTAACTGGGTTGGGAATATGGCTTCTGTCTTCCAAATCCTGTACACAGCCGCAGACATGGATTTTGCTGGTGCTTCACTGTAGACACTACTTCTGGAAGGGGTGGAAGAGAAAGCCTGTAAGGTGTAAGCTTCTGTGGTAGGACTCAGGATACAGCAGCTGCAGCCTACACTGTCACACTCATGTAACAGCAAATATTTTCCTTTTTTTTTTTTTTTTTGTTCTTTTTTAGCTTTTAATCGGGTACTTTTCTAAAGCAGTATTAAAATAAAGGAAGCACAGTAGATCACTATATATAACTTCATTGTAGCAACTTTCTCCTGTTGGAGCCATTACCTTTTTCCCCATGAGGCTTGAACATTTTGTTTATTTCCTTATTTTTTTCTTAAAACATAGGAACATGATTATTAGTAGCTACACACCTTTTGCATTTCTTTTCAAAGGTTTTATTATTATTGTTATTTTCTATTACTGATGTGTGATGCCGTAACATCTTATGCTTCCTCCCACCTTCCAAAAAGCTCCAGGCTGTCTAAAGCCTCAGTTGAGAAGGATGCATTTGTCATCAGTGGTGCTATTCCTACTTGTCTTTCTGTTTTAATCTCAGAGCTCTGGGCAGTTAGGAAACACACTCACTGTTAAAACTATAAAAGGAACAGTTCACACCTCAGAGGAATCTGGAAGTCAGTAGAAGTAGGTATGATCTCAGTAATGACGTTTGTGAGGTCTCTTATGCTTTGGTGACCCCTAATTATGGGTACTGTTGGCTTTTGGTATGAATTAGAGAGTTTGCATTTGTGC